ATCTTTAAACGAGATATATGCGATATAAACTCAACTAAAAAGTCTAGAATTAATACATTGCGTTGATGTGGAAAACGTTAACCAAAGGATCAGAAATCATTATATTAGCTAAATTAGGTTCACACCCAACTCTAGACCAACTTCATTCATATTGAGCGCTAAACCATTAATATGATTTTAAAATTTTTAAGAAAACGTATCCACTTCATTAAAATATCACACATTTTGAGCAACCTACCAACATAGGGCCTCAAATTATGGCGGTAAAAATTTTTTTTGCCTTTTAGGTTTCCAATTTACCGTAAGAAGACAAATTATCAACTCAAATCAGATGGCCCTAACCTAAATTCGCAGTTATACTTTTGCAAAGCTTGCGCTCTATATACCATGCATATGTATGTATGTTGTTTGAGTGATTTGCATATCTGATTAAAGACAGTTAATACCCTAAGTTACTTTTCGCAAACTACTCATCGGCAAGTCAACACAAGTGCTGCATGCTGCCAGTCGCCTTTACGTTGTACTACTCGCACCATTGCACGCACATTCGCTCAGTTATTCAGTTGCTTGACTGCTCACTTGATTCGCTAGCATAATCCATTAGATTTATTGATGATGAAACAAAAATGCTGTCAACGCGCAGACACCCGAAACCCGCGTAATCTACTGACTTAGACTTTTCAACCATAAAATGACCAAAATAGATTTGTCAGTATAAATGTATGTACATATATGTATGTCTGTATGTATTGCAGCAAGTTCATGGAGAGATAGAGAGATGGTAAGCAGGCGATAGGAAGACATCTAATGTTGTTGAAATGTTGTGTTACAGGCTGGATTTGCATAATCACCGAGAAGATTATGGGGTCACAACTCAACAGATATATATATCCATACATACATATATTTATGCACGCTTATGTATGTACCAAAACATAAATGTATGTATGTGTGTGTGCATATATGCGCATAATTTTGCTGGAAATCAAACTCATCCGCTCTTCTGTGTAAACTGTGAAACCTTGAATGCGGGTGGCTTATGATTGCTTAGTTAGAGGAACCACACAGACTGGCTTAAGCGCAACGTCAAGCGAGTCCAATTGGTGTTTCCGTTGAATTTTCACTCTTATTAAATAAATGTAAGACAACGTTGTGCCACGTCTGATGGAGGATGATACTCACTACACAATTTGCTCTACCTATATATTATATTTGCAGGTAATCAAAAACAACAACAAAATTTAATTTGGACTACACCGAAGCTATAATACGCTTTACAAATAAAAAAGTTTTCGTACAAAATCGGTCAGTTTGTAAGGCATCTTTGTATATGCTAAAGTAGTTTGATCCGAAAAATTTGTTCGGAGATTATACCGTTGGCTTAGAGAATAATGCATGTCAAATTTCGTTAAGATATCTTGTTAAATAAAAAAGTTTTCCAAACAAGGACTTGACTTTGAACGGTCAGTTTATATGACAACTGTATGCTATAGTAGTCCGATCGGAATAATATATTAGGAGGTTGTAAGGCAATAATCTATGCCAATTTCATGTAGATAGTTTGTTCAACACAAAAGTTTTCAATAAAAAACTTGATTTGGAAGGGTCAGTTTGTGTGGCAGCTATATAATATAGTAAACCGATCTGATCAATTTTATCGAAGATTAAAGCGCTACCTTTGACAATAATCTGTGTCGACATTGGTGAAAATATCTTGTCAAATAAAAAGTTTTCCATACAAGGGCTTGATTTGCATCGAACAGTTTGTATGGCTGCTGTTTATGCTGTAGTAGTCCGATAGCAGCTTCTTGGTTAGAAAAGGACATGTGCAAGATTTCAGCCGATATCTCAAAAACTGAGAGACCCTTAAAGGGTCTTCGACATAACTTGCTAGTTGCTACAAACTTTGTGAAAAACTTCATTTACCCTGTTCAATGTATAAAAATTACTACTATAAACCTAAATATGCATTTCAAATACCCATCCTGCACTAAGCACACCTATAAAAGTAAGGCAAGTAATCACAGTTAAACTAGCAAGTCTTAATGAAATTCACAAACATGACCTTCGTTCACCCCAAATTCGCCTCCAACCATTATGAATCCAGTCAGTCTTAAGCTCGTCACACACACATGCATATCAGTATGGGTACATTGTACTTGTATGTGTGTGTGTTGTGGGCGAATTGGCGAGCACGCACCAGCTGTGCTGTCCGATTTGAATAAGGAAATGGCAATTAACTTAAATAATAAAGCAAATTTAGTAAAGGAAACTAACTGCAAGCATATGCAAACTCATACACACATACCTGTAAACATATACACAAGTATTATATATGTATACAAGATTGCAATAAATACGTTTGAATTGATTTTGACTGGCTGCTGCTCTTAAACTCTGTGGAATTCCAAAGAAATTTATATGAATTATGAAACGTTTATGGAGCAGACAAGACGTTTGTGATTTGCCGGCTATTATCACAGTATGCTCATACGCACACATAAACACATACATGCCTTTGTATAGTATGTGTGTTTATGTTTATTTGACTAAATGATGGAGCAATTTACACAGTCTGATTGTTTATGAAAATAGTCTGCAATCATTCATGCATACTTATAAACGCATATATTGATAATTATTTATATGCCGACTTTTACATGTGTATGTAGATATGTATATACAACTGCATACATATATTCATTTGTTTATTTATGAATGTATATTATCCCAATTTAAGGGATTAGTTACTTAATTGACTGTGTGAATATGTTATTTTATTCAACAGACGTGATTTTGTGCTATAAATACAATGAATACAAAAAGTTAAAAGTAGCTGCACTTGAAAATGAATATATATGTATAGACATACAATGTACGAGAGCAGTTTGAACAGTTGCCGACATTTTAAAGAAAAAATATATTTTTTTTAAACTAGGACCCTTTTGATTTTTTGTACTACAAAATATTCGAAATCTTTAGGCCTGAAGTCGGACGAATGTAGCTGGGGCCTTTATAAACTTATAAAAGTTTAATTTGAACGATGGACGTGGTACCGCCCACATTCGGGTGAAAACCCATTCCGGGACCTACTGAACCGATTTCAACCAAATTCAATCGGTAATGTCATCCTAACATTCCTACATTACAGTGCGAAAATGGGCGAAATCAGGCGGAAAACCATGCCTACTTCCCATATAACACAATTTTAAATTCCATCTGATTATTTCTCTTTCCAGTATACAAATCAAGAACTAATCAATGTATACGAATAAAACTTTGCACGAATAGTAACTTTGAGGTGTGCCACCTTAAAAATGTCTATATCGGACTAAAACTACTCAAGCCTCTAGAACCGAATTTTACCGAAAATACCTCAGTATGTGAAATACAAGAATTCGTTTCTCATAATAATGTGTCTGTATGTCAAAAATGGGTTAAATCGGGTCAATAATTCCCTTAGTCGTCATATTTTCGAACTTCAGTTGCAAGAGTATAAAATGATCGGTACACCCGAACTTAGCCCTTTCTTACTTGTTATGATTATTTTATACAATATAAATTCCAAAAACCAAATAAAATGAGTTATTAATATAGATGAATACAGGCAATAATCGAAGGTTTAGCCAAAATTTTGCCTATTGACAAAATTGCGGCTTCCCAAAAAAAGTAGTTTTTTGTACATTTCACACTTCAGAGTGGCTTAAAAATCGAAAATATTATCATAACTCGTATTCCTTCGCTTAAAAACTGACGAATATGTATAATAAGGTCGTGTGAAAGTTTCAAGTAGATCGATTCAGCCTTTAGGCGAAATTTTCCTCACTGTTTCTGAAAACAGCCATCTTGTTGATTGTCTTCAGTACTCATGCGGCAGGTATGATCGGTAGTGCTAATTACAAACATATGCTTTAAATATAAGTGGCTTCATCTTATAGAAACGATACGATTTCTCAGCTAATTGGTATGTAGTTTGCCCCCGTGCACTGTGCAAATAGAAAAGCTGGGGTGTCCTTTGCCGCTTTTGCGTCTACAGCTCAAAATAACTTTTACTATCGATTGATTGGCACTTTCAAAGGTTGTGTATAATTAAAATAGTACTAGATCTTTCACAATCGACGGACAGACTCGCCTCGGCTTTATTTAAGACCGCTCAATAAATAAATTAATATAATACTCAATCACGGCGATCTTCGCAAATGTATGCAAAAATAATTTATCTAGAAAACAAAATCAGAAAGATGTTAATTTCCTGATTAAATAATCTATAACCCACATGACTCTTCCTTTTGTGTAGGTCGTTATGGATTGACGACCCCTCTCTCTTTCTAAGCTTAGCATTAGCCATATCTTTCATTCAAATACGAGAACCTAACAAATTAAGTACATTCGTGGGAAACAACTCTTCCATTTTCAGTAAGCATGCCATATTCTTACTATATACCGCTCTATAATATCAAAATCTCAAAACTGTCTCAGTCTCAATAGATATGTATGTATATTTATAATCCAAAATATTTTTAATTTTTAAATATTTTATGTACTTTGCGATTTCTCCCAGTGTATAACGAATTCCCATTAATATTTACTACTACGAGAATTAAAATTTCCCTTCTACTTCAAATGGTTCAAAACTGGGATATTTTAACTGATCTTTCACAAAAGCGCACAGGTAAAATACATACACATGTGTTTGTTGTAGTGAGTTTGAGACTTATTTTTAGACGACATATTCGTTTATATTTGTCTGTATTCAATTGTTTTGAAATAAATAAGGGACTCCTCAAGGCACAGGTAAAACTACGAACCAAATTGCATAGTAAAGAGTAAGAGTATTAAATTGTTTTGTTTTTGCTACGCGTTGCTCGCTATGAAAATTTGAAATGAGAGAGTAAAGAAGAGAGCGCCTAAAGCATAGGATACGCATACCTACCCTAACAGCGCACTACACTTCAGCACATATATTATATATGCAACCAGAAAGTGATATATGATGTTATTGACTCACTGATTTCCCTCTGACTGCAAAACCAATGTAGTCTCTAAGCTGAGGGTTGAAACGTTTGTCAGCCTGAACGCTGATTTAGTTTCGGTTTTTGTAACGTACGCGTCGCTTGTTTTTCAAACCCGTCTAAATATTATTGTGTGTGATTTTCTAGTGGAAATTATCGTTAATAGCGCATGCGCGCCCTGGTTTCAACGTTTATTTAAGAATTTTCATTTAGTTGTAAACACAAGCTTTATGTACTTTGGTGTTGTGATTTGAAACACAAAGCAATGGAACGCCGTCGAGCTAATCGCGCTTATGTCAAATTGCTCAGCCATAGGAAGGATGCACGGCGAAAGCACAAACACAAACAACTACAAAAAGAAAATCTTTCGCATCATCGCCAGAGCGGCGCAGAGGAGACTGACTCTGATGTTACACTAACCAATAGTGAGTTCGTTGATGCCACCGATTCGCCACCGCCAGTCAGTGACGCTTTTAACTCATTGCTACGTTCGCGCTCGATGCGCACCTCCTTCCGCCTGCTCAAAGATAAACTGCATCAGACACGACAAAGCGCTTTTCAATCACCATTCAAATTGCACACCCACTTGAGTTTACGCGCACGCAAGTGCAGCGATAACGTCACAGCCGCCAACAAAACAACAGCAACAGCAGCGCGTCTGCTTGACGAACTGGATTCGGTTGCGGCGCTGACAAGACCAATGCAGCGACAACGACATGTTCATCAAGTGGACGATGATGATGCAACCGGAGTTGCCACAACAACGCTGCAATTATATGAACCGCAAGACTGCAGTGCTGCAACGCATCGTTACGAATGTAAAACCGCTGAAATTGAACGGCTCATGGCGGGACTGCCGCTGAGTGGTCGCGCGGCAAAGACAAACTTTTTAGCCGCCCAGTTACGTGTACCGCGCAAAGCATGCAAATTGCTACAAATACCCGAGTCATATTGTCTGAAATATCTAAGTGAACAGCAACACAGTGCGGATTTGAAAGCCGCTGGTAAAGTGTCAGTGACAGTGGCATCGGTGAAGGCGACCGCAACTACAACAATAGCAAATCAAAAGTCGACATATTGGACGGATATAGCGGCGCAGGCCACAATGGCCGTGCCTGACGGTCAAGAGCAAAATTTCGAGGAGAAAAATTTACTGCAAATCTGTAGCGATGGAATTTATGGTACAACGCGCATGCGCACGGCGACAATAAGGAAACCGGTGCCGTACCTGAATAGTCGTAGGTGTACCAATATAATACAATACGTGTAAAATTTCGTAGATATGTTACATGAAAGAGCAGCAGTTATTTTTTGTGAGATTGTGTGTGCGTGAGTGGGTGTTCTCTGTGTCATAATAGTTTAAAGTGCAAGTACTCAATTGGGTTGACAAAAATGTTTCTTTAGTGCATTCTTAACAAATAATATTCGTTTAAATTCGACTTTTGCGAAATCAGTTATTAACTTTCTAAAAAATTTCTATATATCTATAATATGAAAAAAATAATAATTAAGGTTATTTTTAACTTCAGCGTCAATCCTCTGCAGTTTACCATAATACTTAAATACCGGATATCATTCTGCCTATTACAAAAGTGTATTAAGTTATAAACTTCGCCCAACATAACCTCTAAATTTGTACAGATAACCGAATTAATGACCGTTGACGAAGCCCCTGTTACATCTTGATGGTTCCAACTGGCGCTCCAAGTTGTTAGAAAGTATATTATATCATAAACTCAACGCCAGAAATGATTTATTTGGCTATATATAGTAGTTACCAGTTCGAATTTTATTTTCGGTGGAACCACAATGTTTTCTTTATTTATTCTATTTCATTTAGATCTCAACCAGACTATTCATTTGCAACTTATATAAATATATTGTGCTCAATTAATTAGCTGTTGGCTACTCTTTTATGGTTAAGAACTTGTTTATATTGGATAGCAATATTCTAATATGCCGCGCCAAAATGTAGGCAATTTTTTACACATAAGTTAGTCGCGTAGGTAGTAAAACTTTTTCAGGGACCAAATTACTTAATTTTCGTACAAGTTTTCATAGAAAAAGGAATAAATTCTATAGGAAATCAGAAAAATTTATGAATAAGTTCGCGGTACCTTAAATCATACTTCTAAATATTTTATTTTATTAAAACATAGGATGTTCATATTAGACATAGATTAGCTCAAATATGGTAAAATTTACCCAGAGAGGCTAAAACTGCTAAAAGTTAATTCTGGGTAATGCTTTTCCTGATTTCAGTACATAAAGTTTTAATTTCATAAAATTTTTAGAGATCTTTTATATATATATATATAATATATTTATAAGTAAATCGAAATCTATCTACACATCCTCCATCGATCCATATATTCTTTACAGGTGTTATAACAATGAAAATAAAACTTTCAAGAATCTACCAATTGGCGGCTGTCTGCGCTCGCCCGGCGCACTATTACGCCAAAAGTCCTTTCACACGCTCAACGAGTTGAGTCGTTTCTGCCAAACAACCAGCTGCGATGTCCGTGCGTCACGGGCGACGAAAAAGGGTCAGACGCAGACAAGCGCGCATGCGGGTAATGGTAAGGAGAAATACCTATAATAGGGATATACCAGTGGTACAAAGTCGAACTCTATGGACAACAATAAAAATAGCAAAGCATTTCTAATAAAAAAATATACAAAAAAGAAACCCCACGCTAACTAAAGCACTCACACGCCAATAAATCATAAATTACATGCTCATAATTACTCTTTCGGCCTTATTTCTCACAAAATTTTACATATTCATTTACCCACATATATTCATCCACTTCACTAGAAGCTGGGTTCCTTTACATGCAAGTGGTGTTGAGTTTTGGTTTTAATTGGCAACCGCATTGTTCATCGATTAAATTGAATTGCTCATATCTAAATGAATGGATCACATCCAAACGCGCACACATCCTTACATACATATATACTTTATATTATTAATTTAACACAAGTCCACAATCATGCACCCTTAATAATCTAGATACATAATTACAAATAATCAAGCAAATAAGGGAAATATTTTACGTATGCATTCATATGATGCAAGCTGTGAGGTATGTTTTGCCTATGTCATTGTATTGCTACAGTGGCTTCAAAACATTTACGCATTATTATTTACAAGTGTTTCAATAGTTCATTTATAATAAATTAGTAGGGAAATATGTTCAAGATAATTGCACGCAGTGAGAAAATGGGATAATTTCTTTAGATGAATATAATTGAGATTATCAATTTTTTTAAACGAAAATTAATTACTATCTATATTTATAGCTCATCAACACCATCAATACAATCAAAAAAAAAATTTTTGTTTATACACAAGATCAAAATTGACTAGCAGTGGTCTGTTTAAATCGCGTACGCAAACCGAATCGATAATAATTTTTTTCCCAGATTGCTAGAATTTTTTTTATGTTCGTGTGAAGTGTGATCTACGCATTAAAAACGAATTTGCTTGACATTTTGTATTTCCAATGGAATCATGACATCGGAATCGTTAAAAATGTTGCAGAAGTGGTTTGAGGATTCACTTTATTACGAACAGAAATATTTGAATGACACAAAACATTCAGTGAATGTCATGTGTCATGAAGTCATCAAAAACTTGCCTCATGCGCGTCGTCCATCCACCTCTGTTAATGACTATAACATCCAAAAATTTAAAGAGACAGCGCTTGAAAGTAGTCGTGTTTTTATCAAAAATATAGCAGAGGACGTTGGCATCTCTTATGCCTGCTGCCAGACCCACATTCATTGACATAAAAAGAATGTACCAATCCAACTAAACATTTGTAACCGATTGGGTTTTTTTTATTCATATCAAATACAACAAAACTGTAAATAAAACTCAAACTTAGTTCTTGAACTAAATTTAATTTATTTCTAAAATCGCTTTATGGCGTTGCAAGTTTATTACTGCTTGGTGTATACTGCTCTTCTGGCTGACTGAATTTCTTCTCCTAAATTCTTAATTGAAAACATACGAGTACATATATTTTCAGCTACATTTATCTGCTAATTCTTCTTTTGGAAAAGTTAGGTTGTGGTATTGTCTAACTGAGCCTAGTTTAGCGCTTACATTTTTTTACTTATGTTTTATAAATTTAACTATAATTTTTAGTATACTTTCTTTTATCTGCTTTTTGTTTCCGCTTTACCGTTATCATTTCATTATGCCAATTTAATTGCTCCCAATGTTATAGTTTTTGAAATTTATTTTAAACATATATTTTTTTACTTTACTTTTCGTTATCTCCTCATATCGAATTTGTTGTTTTGTAACCACAAAGACAATATTCTGCCGCATAGTTTAACGCTCGATCGTGCGACTTGGCGTAAAGCGCGTGTCGATAAGCGTCAAGAGGCGCAAGAGGAAGAAGAAGAAGATAGTGGTGGTGTAGGCAGTAGCTACTACTTCATTGATAACACACCTGACAATGATGATGCAGATGCCGACAACGTTGTGGTGTTGAGACGTGCAGCGTCTACGCACAGCAAATTCAGTAGCAATAACAATAATAACAACAGTAGTAGTAATAACAATAACCATAACAATAACAATCGAAATAGAAGTGATAACCCCGAAGAACAATACTACAGCACGATACGTGCGCCAGCCAAACAAGTAGCGCAGCAGCCATACAATAACAACAACTCAACACAGCTGTTAGTATCGGTGAGTGGTGAAAATAGTGACGATAATGGCTGTGATGCCGCGAATACATTCCGTTGGTCTGAGCAATGGACGCCAAATGTTGCTGTAGCCAAGATACGCACGGCCATCTCGTGTACGTCCAACGATTTGCGTGAAATGGAATTTCTATTGCCGCAAACGGGCGTAAATAATATAGCAGCAGCAGCGACAAAAACAACAACAACAACAGCGATAGCGAGCAATGCGGTAAAAATGGCAACAACAATGCCAATAAGTGTCACCAACACCAACAATAATAATAACAGTCATCACAACAACAACAACAACAACGTCAATAGCAATAAAATTTTGAGAATGACTGCGGACAAGCAGCACAGCAATGGTCCTAGTAGTGGCCTGAGTGTAGCACGTCAAGCGCGTAACTCTGTGGCCGCACAACCGCTGGCGACACTAACGTCCAAACAACCGAAAATAAATGCGAACGAATCACTGGAGTTGGCACTGAAACCGCCGAATTTAGCCATTTACCGACAGTCGGCATTTGTGCGGACGAAAATCAACGGCGACAGCAGCATCAGCACCGATGGTTTTATCTCCAATGTCGGCGCCGGCAATTGCGGCAACACGCCGTATCGCAATAAAATGTCGAAGAAACAATTAAAGTTGGCTCAAGCGCAGCTGGACAAATTGAATCAGATCAATTTACATCAACATGGTAGGCTAGCCTAAAAGTAGGCAATACGTTTTTAGAAATAAACAAATGTAAAGTAGTCTCAACTAATCCTTTAATTTAATTTAACTGAAAAAATTGTCATATGAGCTTACTAACCTAATAAGTAAGGGTATTTAGTCTGCTGCTTCTTCTTCTCCGCCAACTGTTGAGCAGCTTTTATGCAACGAACACTGCGCTTTCACTAACCTTAAAAATAAATTTTGTATGCATCTAACTTTCACATTTGTATATGTTATACTTTTTATATATTTATACGTTTATGGGTAATTAACTAACCTTTATCATGTTACTTCCATTTTTTTCTTTAGCACTGTTTTCCGCAGTTGAACATGGACATCTTGACAAGGCGCGCACAATTCTGGAATCAACCGATGTGGATGTCAATAGGTTTGTAACATTACCAATCGCTCTGAAATTAACACTCTTATTAATGTATATGGAAAAAAGTAAGGCTTAGGTTGATTTATGAAAGTTCATTTGTCGGAATCGCCGATATCGGACCACTATGGACAACTTTGTCAAAATGTCTTGACGTAATTCGGCAAAGATTATTTTTGAGGCAACACTAAAATCTTCGAACAAATTTTTCTAATCGGACCACTATAGTATATAGCGGAACGAATCAAATCTTTGTATGTACAACTTTCGTATTTGAAGAGACATTTTCATGAAATATTGGATAGAATATTTTCACAGACAACCCTGTTATCTCCACATATTTTAGATTAGTGATCCGGTAGCATATAGCTGCCATACAAACTGAAGGATCAAAATCAAGTTTTTATATAGAAAAATTTTCCTTTTGACAAGATAGCTTCACGAAATTTAGCATCTATTATTGTTCAAGGCCACGTTGGTATCTCCGCACGAAATCTAAGTTTTGTAAGAAAAGTTTTTTACTTGTGAAAGGTATTCTAGCTTCGGTGCAATCGAAAAAATAATTTGAAGTCGTCCGAAGTCCATTGAATTTTTTTGTTTAGAATTGAACCAGTAACAAATTGTTAACTAATCCTTAGTTCTAAAGAATGCAGTATTCTGCAAAAACTCCTTCATTTACTTAAACTAAATCTTGCCCTACCTGTTAGTTATGTATATAAGTAGTATATAAAATATATTAATTTAAATCGACTGTTGTTTTCTTTTATCTTTTAACTCTTAGGGTCATATTGACCTATAATCTGCTTAGACTTCTTCATAATAAAAAAGGCCTGAAAAATGATAAAGTTCATAAAAATGAGGTTAACCTGTGTGGTTTTGTAAGATGTTAAGACAAGAGTTTATCAAATGGAATTTGGAATAAAAAGTGTCTCTATATTACAAATTTAATATAACCTGAATCTATACATTTCTTCTAAATGGGATCGATAAAATTATATTGCCAATTTCTGCACACTAACTGACGATTTTGGTATTATTTTCATACACTATCTTAATACGTTTTTTTTCTTTCCCTTATTGTAAGCAAAAGAGAACATAAACAAGACAAATGGATAATGCTGCCAGCTGCAGCACTAGCATTTAAGCCACAAATATTGACGACTCCTTTGTAAACATTAAGATATGAGTACATATCAGCTGGTTACGGTATTTACGCTGGATTTGACTTTGAGCAACAAGAGTTAACTTACAATTCGGCTGCATATAGCTGTCTCCCTGCCAAGCGTAGTACTAGTAGGTAATGTCTATCAGCCAACCCAAACGATTGACGTGTGTCAGTTGTCAAAATGTGATTGCCAATTGACCACAAATAGTCAAAGCGTTTATAAAGCCCCTTTACATACACTTGTGCTTTATTCGAAGCAGTTTCCAATATTTAACATATTGATTCAAATAGTATAGAAACAGAGGTCTCTCGGCTCTATTGATAGGAGGTAAATCGGTTTTTTTTTAAGAGAGTAGCGAGAAAAAGGGAATGGTATAATATTAGCAAAAAAACATAGCTTAATCGAAAGAAAGGAGAGTAAAAAATATAAAACGATAGGTTCAAGTAGTCAGTGAGCCTTCAGTACATCTCTAAATCTGCTTTTCGAATAATTTCTTTTCTGTTTCAATTACAGTTTCTAATTTTTACTAAGTCATACTTATATATATTTTTTCGTTTACATTTTCAACAATAGCATAAATAGTGATGGCCTGTCAGCATTGGATGTTGCTGTTCTCAGCAACAATCGGTCGATGACCAAAATGCTGCTGCAACATGGCGCAATTGAGGGCACACAATGTAAGTAGAATATATGTATATATGATTCTTCTGATTTTTTTTTGTCTTTATCTTGACGCTTATTCAATGTTCTCCTAAATGTAGGCCAATAATTTTTAAAATAATAGTTTTAAAACAGTATAAAAACGAGTCATATAGTGCATTTCGAGAAAAGGATAGTTCTTCTATGATAAATTAAAAATTAAATTAGCAAATTTCGAAAACTTAATATTATTTAGTATTTATTTTATCATCCTTTAAAAATTCTTCAATAATAACCCTAACATTTTTTTTATTGCTTTGTCAGTTTCTTCAGATACCATCGGAAACAAATTGAATGGTCTGCTCAAAGATGCTGAGTCTCGTATACAGGACTTGAGTGGCACATCGGATGGTGGGCTTTGTCAGCCCACATTTGCATCACGACCGTCCATATCCAGTATTATTATCGGTAAGTTTTCATCACACTTTTAAAGTGAATGTGCAACTATTGTTTGTTTTAAGTTGCATACCAGGCAAAATGGGTGAATTATGTGCAAAAGTGTATTTAAATGTATGTACGTGTAAATGCATTAGTAATTGGAAAATGGGACGTGTGGAGAAGAGTAATACAATTTTATGATTTTTAGAATTTTATTTGTCATTTATAAAAGTATAATTTATATAAGTAATCAATAGGCAATTTTAATGACATTTATTAATTTTTTTAGTTTTTAATTGTGATCAGTGGGATAATATTACATATTTATATATGCCACTGTGTTGCAACTTATTAAAACTTTACTGTAGCAAAAAGGGAATTTAGTTTTTTTGTTCCTATGTAAAAAAATATTTATTAAATTAAGGTGTTTTATTTTTTTAAATGCAAATAGGGAACTGCTCTTTCACAAGACAAACAGTGGATTAGGGAATAGCAATAACGTGTTATAAAAATTAGCAAAAACCAACAAATGACAAAAAAGATTAGAAGAACTCCGAAGTTTGATAAAAAATGTAGACGAAGCTCCATTTAAATCAACATTTATGGACGAAAATATAAAAGAGTTAGAAAACGGGACCTTGCGCCGAAACTCTGCGCCAACCAACACAAATTGTACAAAAGATACTATCAATAATTGATTTCGCTTTCGTTTTGACATATTCATTGCAGCTCCATGAAGTATCTTACATACAGTAGATTTTAAATTTTTTAATACTATCTATTAAATTGTCCTTTTTTATTGTTGTAACGAATGGAAATATTTCCAATAATTTAGAGAAATGCTAACCAACTTAAAGTCTTTGGCCGAATATAATACTGAGTCCATCCGGTTACCTAACACTTGAAACGTGGGAACAGTGCGTACGTGCTCAGAAATGCACACTACTACTAAATTCGTTTTTAATTTGAGAAATGCTTTTTCATATGTCAAACGGTAGGTACCGTCAGAGTATGGTATATTTGAGTCATAAAATTGTTTCCTAGCATATTCAGAAGCCCAATCTCTATTCGGTCCCTTTGAAGTCTACTCTTTAAGCAGTTAAATTCAATACAAGAGAGCTTGTGTCCTCGACTCGCCATTTCTCTGCTCGCTGTCTTTGGACACTGCTCTCCTTTTAAAAGAATTATTTCGATGTGCGAAAGTATGAGCATAACTCTTAAAAGTGGTCAGGAGCTTTTTATTCTAAATATATTTAATTACACCAGTATTTATAACAGTTGTTTGTTCGATTCGCATTCTGTCAGGCTGTTATAAATCAAAGAGAGCTTTTATTAGAAATCCTCGCAGATCTTATTTTGAAAAATAAAATTTGTCACTCGGTACCAATGAGACATAATTTATTCTTTTAAGCTGCCTGGCCTTCATTCGTCCATAAATGCCACTTAACTTGATAGATACACTGACTATTCTGCTATTCAATTATTTGTTATGCTGATCATGTCCAGCATTGAATGATTTCAAGCATAATTGAAATATGAGCGCACACACAACCACATAATAAGAATAATATTTACACGCAGTGTGGCGTTACCCGGAACCACTATGAAATGCAATCAACGGCGTCACTCGACGCTGGATACCGATGCGCTGGGGCGGACCAAATAAACAATCGAAATGCTGAAACTAGAATTGCAAATTTACGAGCACAACTAACCACACTTTTTTATTTGTATGTTTGTGTACTTGTATGTATGGTTATCCGCACGTCCCACTCCTCCGAATCGCCATTCAATTGTGCATTCATTTGTTCATTGAGTCATTGAATGATTCGTTGATTTATTTATTTGTACGCTTGCGACAGGCAACACTGGCTCCTCCGTGACTGGCTGCACAGGCAACGAAATCGAAAAGCAAATCGGTAATTGGGAGCGACGCGTGAAGGGTTTGCGACGCCTGTTGCTCGGCTGGGATCAGACGCGCCCACCGGATGCGCCCGCCTCGGTGGCGGTGGATGTGACGGGCGACAACGCAATAGCGCTGCAAATACTCGAGCCGTTCGAAGGTGCAATTGCCACGAAATTCAAAGGTAAACAAAGCAAAAAAAAAAAAGAGACTAAAAAATGGCAGCACTCAACGGTAAACAAAATATGAATGCATACAATTGAGTGAAGACGCTACTGCCTCACCATTGCGTCACTTGCCGTTGCACGGGTGTTGACTCTGTGTACGCATTGGTATTTGCTCGTCCAACCGAAACCATGTGCTGCAACTGATTTGTTTACTTTCGATATTTTCATTTATATATTTATTTTATTTTCTACTTATGTATTTATCATTGTTTATTTGGCGCACCACAAATTGGACACCGCAAACCCGGTAAACTAAAACAATAAACTCTGCAATCCTCAAAATGCAAACTCACAATACCCACCAATCCCAACCAACATTTGGGTCTAACACCCACGCACAGTGCAATGGTCGACTCGTACGGATTTCAGCAACATTGTGGGCGAACGCGAATTGGTCGACTGGATGAGTTTTCACGGCAATATGGGCACACAGTTTCAGATTGGCGGCTTGACGCAAGGACGCCGCTACTTCATACGCGCTGCTTGTGGCAATGTCAAAGGTTGGGGCGCGTATAAAACGTCCGTGCCTGCAAGCGTCGTGCCATCAAGTAAGCTCAAGCAGGAGGCTCTCTTGTGTTCCCACATTTAATTGGTTTTTTTTTTGTTTCGTTATTGTTTTCTTTTTCGAATAGGTTGGCGCGATTTCAATAATCGCGAAGATCGTTATGGAGGACGTCAGCGTGTTTTGGACAATCTTTTTACGGCAGTACGTTTAGCGCGGCCGGCGGATGTATCGGAGTTGACATTAGATGTCGGTGCGGCACAGCGACGCAATCCAAAAAAGAAGACGACGATAAAGCAATTATTTTCGGTGGCATCGAAATTTCAAAAGCACTTAAGACGGTAAGTATTACGGTCTTTTGTTGTCATTAAATATGATCGACTAAATCGAATGAATGTGAACTTATTTGGATAACTGATTGGGTGTTGTCAGATGCAAACAGCTTTGGTAGCTTTCAATCTTTCAAGCTTTGTGAAGCGAGTAAAAAAAAAAGGTCTAGTCTAAACAGCTACGTACTCACTAGCATTTCAAGACAACATTCCCATAAAAATCTGCTCTCTAAGTTTATGAACTTATTGATAGAAATCGGATATAATCGATCAGTTCCATCAATTTACCATTACTTTGTTCAAATAATCTGCTTAAATTTTAAATAGTTTTGATGGCTCTGACTGACATATTTTACCACTAGTAAATTATGGCGAAAGAATCAGTGAAGATCTTTGAAAACTAAGATATGTATATGATACACTTAAAAATCATTTTATTAAAACGAATCCAATATATCTTATAGAAACATCTAAAATCCAGCCTATCAAATGTTACAGTATTGTTAGTAATCATTACTTTCTTAAACCCTAATGTTGTTGTCGTTGTAGTGGCAGAAAACATCCTTAAATAATTTTGAAGAATGGACGGATAAAAATCCGTTTACGTTGACCTGACTGTTGTGGAAACAGAAGAAGTCTTAATAATTACCTATGATACTTTTATAATAACGATTGCTCATTATCTTTTTTTCTTTACCAGCGGCATCTACTTGGCGAGCATTGTTTATTGTGAGGACAAAGTGCTGGTGACTAGTGAAGATTTCTTGCCCGTTATCGAAATAGATGAGACATATCCGAGCAGCTTATATAGTGATTACCATTGGCTTATGAAAGTAAATACGGCCGCTTTAAACTAAAAAAGCAAATAATCTTATTTTCTAATGAACCCCTCAACCTAGGTTGCCTGCACCTGGGACGATGTGAAGTCTTTACGTACCGATATGGAGCGAAATTTAACATCCGCCGTACATTTTCGCACCAAACTTCTGTCCGCGGTTTGTCAAATGCAATCGACGTTGGGTCTCAATGACTTGGGACAGCTTTTTTACAAACCACTACGCGATTCCCATGGCACAGTTGTTTTGACCTGCATACAGTCTGTGAAGAGTCAGAAAACCGTCTCCATACTTAACTCGCGCTGGTTGCCGCTAAATAAACTACAAAAGAAGATTGTCGCACTGCTGGAGGACTATAACATCAGTGAGATGTTAATCTCGTCTATCAGCGAGCAAATACACTACCATCAAACGTCAACGCAACGTCTAAATCCAGGTCTATATTTGGGTTATCTCAAAATGCAATGCTCCATGGACCAGATACAGGTGGTGGTGCCCGTAAAGACACCTAATGTGCTGCCGCACTACAAGGTACGCGACAACAGTCACATCACTGCCGATGAATGGCAAATACTGAAGCGTAAAAAGTCCACAAACTGCAACAGTCGTAGCAATAGTCCCTTGAATATGGCGCTGGAATTCAATACAAATAGTGAAGAGACCACCGAAGGCCAACGTTTATTCTTGTATGATCTCACCAATGCTGCGCATAAGTTATTCACCTATATGAATATAAAGCCCGAAGATGCCAAGACGCATCGTCTGTATGACATCGAAGTTATTGAGCACAGCAAAGATATTAGTTTTTTAGTAATCTGTCCGGCCGTCGAGCTGGCTTGTGCCGTGCCTGGACAGTCAGAGTTGCTGTTACAACGCGACGATCTCGCCAGCCTAAGCATACAGGCCTTCGAGATGATACACCTACGCACTTACCAGCCTGGCATCATACAAAAATATGCACGCCTCTCTTGCATACTGGAATTGGATACAGCGTTAGCCACACATTCGCAACGTGAAGCCTTCTCCACAAGCGAACTGCAAACAGCCAAAGAACGCTTGGCAAAATTGCAAGAGCTATCAGCGAACTTGAATGCCGTGTGGAAGAGCGTGCGTTGGCTAATGGACGTAATTGCGTTTGCACGCGACAAAAACGCACAATCCTCAGAGGTCATGAAAGACATACTTGCCTATGGCAATGATAGCGATAAGTGCAGGGAGGGACGTGCTGTGGAAAAGCAGCTGCTGCAACCGCCAACACGTGATGCCAAATACACAAAAAGTTCCGGACGTGGCAGCTGGCCAGGACCGGGTGCCAATTCACAGGGTTCCAGTAGTAACTGCTTGGCAGCCGAACATTCCAAGTCCGAACAGAATTTGGGGCGTAGCGCTATAACGCCCACCTCCTGTGCAAACATTATACCGGCGCAACAGTCAACTACGAAATCGCAGAGCAGTAGCGATTCACGTAAAACTGTCAGCTCCGCCGGTACGCAACAATTGCTACAAGTTAGTATGGGTGGCTACACGAGTTCTGACGTCTCTCTACGCAAAAATAGCGGTGATTCAATAACCTCATCGCAGTACACAACGCGCAGCTACTATTCGGGTGCCGAATCGGCGCTGGGCAGTAACAACGAACTCGGACAGATCTTTGCAATACCACCCTCACGTTCCGACGACACACTAGGACTGGGCAGCTTGGATGGTACAAAACACACACATTCCGCAGGCACGCATCGCAAACGCACCAGTTCCAACATTACACAGCATGTAACGACGCCATCATCCTTGGCCACCGCAACACACTGTTCCAGCTCAGCGCCTTACTTGCCCACCGGCTCAAATCTCTCACTGAAAAACTCTTCAAACTCTGACTATGACATTAAAACGTCCAAGATTAGCAGCCAATCAGCCATCGAGCATTGTATTGGTGGCAAAGTGAAGGCTGCCTCGAGCGCTAATCTACGAGATGGAGCTCTCTACTTTAAAACAGCTCATGCTGCGCAGCCCAGCGGTGTAAAGCCTATCAACAGTGAAGAAGCCTCCACCGCCGCTGCGTCAGCTACAACTGCAAAAACTGCCTCCATAAAAAGTCTCTCGCGACAGAGCAGCGAAGAGGACACTGCGAGTGGATCCAGTCACACCTCTGAACAAGCAACCAATGCCGCCGCTCTGAGCAGTGCGCCCAGCTCAGGCATCATACAAGTCTACACTGCATACAATACGGGACTGGCGTCCGGTACTAGCCTCAAATTGCACGTGACACCAAAGACAACCGCGCGTGAAGTGATCAATTTGGTCGTGAAGCAATTGAATATGGCGGCAGTGCTAAAAGGCAATAACGGACCTATCTACACAGCGGATATGCTAGAGAACTTCTGCTTGGTGGCAGTGATAGGCGCACGCGAACGTTGTCTGCGTGATGACTTTAAGCCATTGCAATTGCAAAACCCCTGGCGCAAGGGCAGACTCTACGTGCGCCAAAAACACGAACTGCTGGCGGCCATTGAGCATGCAAATCGGAAATCACATCTGATTTGAGTGATGTATGAGGAGTTGTGAGCATAAGAGAAGCCAATTAATATATGAAAGAGCTTTGCGCATCTGCTGTCGTGTGGAGAACGAGGGATGTTTAAAATTTTGAAATTATTGTTGGTAAAGTTCCACACCTTGTATATTTTTTAATCACATTACCTGATCCAACAAGCTTGTTAGTTGTAAGTATATAAATGAGTTATGGGGTAGGCTGGTGCTTAGTAAATACTAGTCGTTAATCATGCCTTCGGAATGCAAGAAGAATGAATTTGTGTTAGTAATATATACTTGTATACAATACTTCTAAAATGTGTACCGTTGGGAACTCAGAATATTTTATACTATATATAGCTGAAGCTGTTGACCAGCAAACGGGGCTAGCTTAGCCGAAGCAATAAATAACAGATTTATATATTTTTTTTTTGGTATGTTGTTTTCGAAATAGAAATAAACTTAAAATATTTTAAAGTTATGTCGTTCCTATTTGTCCCGATATCCTGCTACTTTAACCTCTAAACTACAAGTTTTGCATTCTGTAGCAATAATTATCTTATCATTTACTAAGACTATTTCCGCAGAATTTCTACTCTTCGATAATAAAAAAAGCTTTATGCCGCTATAATTTTTACTGAAATTACTTGCAAAAATTTAATTTTTTCTTGTTATTGCTAATTCTTCCGAAATAAATTGGATCAAAAACTTTTCGAAATAGTTGCATTTATAATTACTTAATTCATTACTTCCATGTAATCATATAAATAATCTTTAAGTATTTATAAATACAAAGGCAAGATATTTAGGTTGTGCAAACCAAGAAAGCAAATCTTTCAATAATGTATTGTTGTAGTTGTACTAATACAACAATATTTCAAAGCATACAATTAAAATTCCAAAAGTAACACTTTTTAGTCCTATTAAAATTCGGACCCTTTATTTTCACTGATCGATCTTCTTGAGTTGCATAAATATTATTTTCGAAACAGTGTGTTTAAAATATATTCATGCACTTGAATTTAAAAAATTTAATTTAATTTTTTAAATATAACTGTATATGATACATATGTTCTTTTATATATGTATATAAAAGTCAAAAATGTTCGACAAGCTCATTTATTAAACCCATTCCAATACACCACCAAACTTTAAGTGCATCATGATACAATCCATTCCCAAATTAGACTGATTCACCATAATATATATATATATGTACATTTACAATACCTTTTTTATTCATATACACGCGTATTATCCTGATAAATTACTTTGTAATCCATGTCAAAAAAAATATATGAAAACTCGAATTCGAGCAACCGAAAAAAATGAAAGCTTACAGAGTGTCCCGCTGAATTTAAATTACAAAGCACTGGACATAATCCAAATCGCTTAAGTTAAAGCAAAAAAATTTTTATTAAAGTTACATATTGACTTATATAAATTGCTGATACATAAATCTTTATGTGTATATACATACATAGATATATATGTATATGTAACGGCGTTTGATTTAGACTGGCAAAAGAGCGTATATGAATTTTAAACTCTACACGAGTGCGCAGTACATAGCTAGCTACTGATATACATACATATATAAATATAGAAATATTAGGTCTGCATACCTGTACCGTAGGTGAAGAAATGATACTATTGATATAAGCAAGTTCTGGTAATTCAGAACTGTAACGAAACACACCAATATCACAAATCGTAAATTTAAGCCATACATATGTACATGTGTATGTATGTAACTTTATATGTATGTAGTTGTATGTATGTACAACTGCATTTTAGACTAACGAAACTATATGGTATTTTTAACATTGTTTTAATGAAATACAGTCAAAAATCATTAGCAAACATACAATTTATTAGTGTATATGTATTGATATATTTTTGTGTACTTGTTGTTTTTATGTATTAAATAATGTATTAAATATTGCATATTTATAGTACATGCATATTTTAAACACGAACATTTTTAAATTTATTAATGTTTTGCAATGTGAAAAAGTGCAAATGCTTTTACCACATACATATGTATGTATGTATCTTTATGTAAATATGTACATGATTATGTGCATTAGTATTAGTATTATAATATGTGTGTGAAAATTTTTTTATCTTATAAATGTATATGTATGTAGTCAATGAAGTGGAAAGCCCAAGATATTTGTTGTTTTTGCAATAGCATTAAATGTTTAGAAAAGTGCTCAAAACAGAAAATAACTCAGCTAAATATTAAGCAAAAGTTTAATTATTGTATGTATTAGATGTATGTATTGTAGTTACATCATAAAATGAATGATATTGTTTGGTGAGGTATGTACATATATTTGCACCATTTAGTTTTTATATAAAATATTAATGTTTTGCAATGCAAAAAATAGCAAAAACTAAAATTTATTTCGATACTTAGGGAACTTATGAAGTCTTGTTGTTAGTCGTAATTAAAGTGCTTATAAGAATTGTATTTTATAAGTAAATAAACCGTCAAAATATATATATAATTATACTATATACACTCACAATGTTTATCAATTATTAATCAATGGTTTTTTTTTTCGTCTTAAATATTATCATTGTTTTTTATTTAATTTTTTTTTTTTTTTTTGTATTTATACTTTTAATGTTATATTTTCTTTTAGTATTTCACTATTATTATTTTTTAATTTTAATTTTTCTTTCATAGAAATATACTTTTCCATATGAAAAACTAATTTTAACCAGAAATATTGAATGGATCTCGCTAACATCAGCTCCCATAACACATACCGACGCATATAAAAAAAATGTGTTGCTCAACCTCAACTATTATTAAAAAGAACCATTGTCGAAGAAAAACTACGAGAAAATAGTTAAAATTTGTATTTTTATTTTACCATTTATTTTATTTTTATAATTCTATATTTTGTTTTTTTCTTATATGTATATAAATATTTTTTTTTTTAATTTTTATATTTACTTATTTTTTCATTTTATTTTAATTTTTTTATATATTTCAATTGTTATTACAGAAGACAATTGCTTGAAATTATAATTAGTTAAATCATTTTTATATTATTTATTCACGTTTTATAAACTCAACATAAACACAATGTTACAGTGATAATACAATACATTTTTTTTTTTTAATTTTTAGATTGGATTGCATTTAAAATTTTAATTAGAAATTATTTTGAAGCTCTGTTAAATTAGAAATCACAATAAGCTGATGAGGTTTAAGGAAATTACAGTAGAATATATTTTAAAGGAGGGCTGCCATTTGTTAAAAAAAAATATTCAAAACAATTAAAGAATTAAATGAACTACTACAATATGGCTATAAACGTAAAGTTGTTAAGGAAGACAAGCAATGAAAATATTTTTGAAAATAGTTGCCAACTGCCACTTTATTGTGAAAAAATTGTTATACATTTAATGTTCAAAGTATTGCCCATCAGAAGCTACGATGTTTGCCCATCTTTCTGGCAGGTTGTGGATCCCATCCCAAAAGAACTTCTCCGGCTTGGAGGTCAAGAAAGAATCGAGCCAATTTCTGATACCCTGTTCTGAAGAGAAGCGTACTCCGGTGAGGGCATTCTGCAATGATCTGAATAAGTGGTAATCGAAAGATGCTATGTCTGGGCTTTTAAGGCGGGTGAGGTAGAACCTCCCACCCACAGTTTTCCAAATAGTTTTTAACTGGCCTTGCAACATGTGGCCGAGCGTTGTCATGCTGAAAAGTTATTGATTCGTGTCTGGTTGCATATTCTGTTCGTTTTTCCGCGATGGCCTTTTTCAAACGAATCAATTGTTTTCGGTAGAGGTCCCCATTGATCGTCTGACCCGATTTCAATAGCTCATAATAGAGCACACCCTTGTGGTGTGGTCGCACCAAATACATAGCATAACCTTGGTACCATGGATATTCGGCTTTGCCGTGGATGTCGATGGTTGGCTGGGCTTCACATTCTTTTGGTGGCGTTGAAGCAACATTTCCGAGAAGTAAAGTAATGAAGAAGAAGTCCCCGAAAAAACACTTTATCTGGTACAAATTTCGACATTTTCAAATGAATGAAACAAATTGTTGTTTACACTTAAACAAATGACATCTACTGAAAACGACGCGAAATGACAATACCTTCGAAATGAATATAGCCACAGATGAACACGACGCGAAATAATACTAGTAGAGCCCTCTCTTAGAAAACCGCACAAATTAATACATACACCCAATGCATAAATAATCAAACTGATAATTCATCAAGTATTTTTTATTTTTTTCTTATTTTTTATAATGTTGTTTACATATAAAAAAAATCAATAATTAGGCAATAAAAAACGGAATAGTTTTGGTATTCATATTTTGAATAATAACCTAATTAAATTTTAATATCTACCAAATATTGTAGGAAAAACACTAAAATAGCATTGCTTTCAGTATATAGCCATATAATTAAAGCGGAAACCGGAAACTTCAAATCAAAACTAATTGCAGTCAATTTAACAGAATAAACAACTAAAAAAAACATGCTAATTTTGCAAAGCAAAAATCACACTAGTAATAGCTATAATAATGTATTTAGATGCTTGACGAAAACTCTGTCAAATAAGCCTTTAATCGATTAAAATGGCCATATTCACACTGTTAAAATTATGACCTTGGCATATGATGTACCAATGTATTTTGATATGAGTTTGGCATAACTTCCTAACATACGAGTAAAAACTGGGCCAAAAAGCAGGAGTTATTTTTGTAAGTCGTGAGCATTCCAACTCTACATAAACTATTTCATTTCGACATTTTCCAACGAATTTTTCAAGAATATTTGATGCTGCAGATGAAACTTGTCTACAGATATATGTGTTTTACGATTATATGTATTACTTATTCTCGCTATATACTCGTATTCTTTTTACATATTATATATTCCTGAAGATAGCGTGGCCTCTTGCTAAGAATTTATAAAAATCGGGTCAATATTTCACGTAGCCTAGTTTTGGCTTTATACAATATACAATATGGTATGCTGGTCAGTACGAGTATAGAATATATAGTATGACAGCGTAAGAAAAAGCGATTTTTGGGAATTAAAAACTGAAAATTGGAAAAAAAACATTTGTAATACGGTAAGGTAGGTCTAGGTATCGAGAACTATATACAGAATATGCGGAACATTTGATAGCGATCAAATCATTTCTTTCCGAATAATCACTCAAGCAAATTTTAAAAATGTAGTTTCGAGAAAACCGCGTTTAAAGATAAACTGATTGCACTGAGTGGCTGTAACTAAAAACTATTTCAGACATCGATTTAAAATTGTAATATGTTATTTTTAAAGGGATCACCTATCGAAACATGAAACAAAATCGATTTTTTTTTTTAATTTTACACTAGATGAGCCACTTAAACTAACATTACAACGCGTTCGGTTCTTACAAATTGCGATCGTATATAATGCTCGGTAGCACCCCGAAATTCAGTTCCTTCCTTACTTGTTATATACAAAAGTCATTAATATTTTCATAAAAAAGTGTTTAACAATGTTAGGTTATCATAAAATTTACACAGTCGAAGAATTTGCGAGCCATTTATGTTATCAATCTAAAGATTTGAAGTGCTTGTACATTTGGCTCCTGATACAACAGCATTTAGGTATATAGACTATAATCAGTTCCAAAATCGCGAGATACAATATTTTCAAATGATTAGATAATCGTTTTTTTTTTGTTGTGGCAATTGCTCAAAATAGAAAATTTTATTTTTAACAATATGTTGAGGTTGGTCTGTTATTCAAGTTTCTTCAAGCAGAGTCCATAAATTACCACATTTGTTTTCTGTAATCTCGTTTTTTGAGTTATCGGCAAATAACGGTATGTGTTTAACCAAAAAATTTTCGCCAATTGCTTCTTAATCTTCTTAATTTTTTTTATTTTGCATTTTAATGATTTCACATTACATTTATTTTTTTTTTTTAATAACAGCCCTTGGCCGGATAAAATCCGGCTCAATTCCGATAACGTAGAACCGGCTGTTGTGGGAATTCCCTTACATTTCACACTACATGTTTACTAGATCGTAACCTAACCTTAAACAACGTAAACGACGCATGAAACCTTCGTCATTTAATTAATGATAATTTCAAAATACACTCGCATATATAATTTTTTATCACATTAGCAATTCCTATGTAATGACAACGAACTTAATATATTTTATATAATATTAAATGTATTAAAAGCTATTTAAATGTTGAAACCATTTAGTTTGCACAAGTCAAATTACAGTAAACACAACAAATTTATATG